GTGGACTACATTTTGAAATTAACTCAAAGTTTGATGTAATACAGTGTCTTTATGAGCAAACGTTCCTTTTAGCTCCATCTGTTGGTCAATTTTCTGCAACATCTGAAAGAAGCAAAGCAGGGAAGTCTGTGTTAAACATCCTGTCACCATCAATGCACAGTACTGTTTTGATTTTGTATCTGCAGTATCAGAAACATAATTTCTCGGAGCTCCATAGCGCACACTTGTTACATAAAAAATATCTGATATGGAAAATCTGTTTGTACATGTTACCGCATTGAAGTTAATAGCATAGTTTGACCTGTTGGGAAATATACTTAATCGCTTTCTTGCTTGAGTTAAATAAGAAAATCAATGCCACTCATATCTGTATGGTAAAAATGTACCAGGAACCAGTAGCCAGTTAGCTTAGAATTAGGGGCAAACAGTAAGCCTGGCTCTAAAGTTATCAAAATCTGCCCACCAACACCTTTAGAGGTCCATAAGTTACATCTTATACCTCGACCAAAATAAGAAACCAACAAGTTGTGGTTTCATGGGGAGTTAAATGCTGGAACTATTTCTTCCCCAGGAGTAGTAACTTCCTGGAGCGTCCGCTGGTTGCCTGGCAACTGTTCCCAGCTAAGAAATAACAAGTTGTGTTTTTACATTTTGGTTTCTGTACATATTTCCCAAAATGTGGAACTGTTCCTTTAACAAGCTTCACATTGGAAAACTGTAGATAAGAGTAGAAAGTCAGAATCAGTTATTCACCAAAGAACTTTAAAATACCCAGCGCACAGTGATGCATCATTGAAACATAGACAGGGTTGTTATTTATGGGCACTCTGTGCATAATCAATAGGTAAAATAAGGCAAAGAGCTCATTCAAGAACCTGGACCATGAAGCCATGGGCACTGATTCCTGAGGCAACAGAGTGGGCATGAATTGCAAATTCAATGGTACGTTGTATATGTATTCCTAAGTAATGAGTTCAGTTAATCCATTTTGTGTCAATTCTTCTCTGCTACCTTGCATATCCCCATAAAGACACCTGTACAGATCAATTTTTCATCTCAGCTGACATCCCCTTTGAGACACATCTTAGATTGAAATTATGCCAAATTATTCTTATTTACTAGCTTCATTTGGACTGTACTACTCCAGTGTGTCCAATAGATTGTGCTCTCACCCCATGTCATTATTCAGAGACGCTGCTGAGGCTCTGGTGAGTGTGTTTGCTCATGTGGTTTGAAAGTAGAGAGCAGGAAGTGAACTTCTTACGTCTGTGTGGCTTGTGCACTCTCTTTTGTTTTGTGTTCAAATTCTCATGAGACACACATATACAGGATGAGAAGTAGACATTATTTTCCTGCTTAAGCAGAGCCCATCACAGTGTTATAGCAAACCATATCACCAGTGGGGGGACGACGACATGCAGTTTGGTTGTTTTACAATTTAAAACTGTGAATACTGTTTTAGTTCAACTTAGTTCAGTATTAACCCTAAATCACACGGGGGAATTGATTTGCACCAAATAATTGAGAGTTTCACTCTAAAAGTTCTGTAGTTCTCATTTTATTCACAGTTACTGGTATGTTCTCATAACATGGCTGGCAGCTTCAAAATCCTTTGAATCTCTCCCTTTCCTTTCAGCTAATTAAAATTAAAATTGAGTGAGCTGCACTATAATAACAAAAGTCAAGTATCAGCTCCCTGGTCCAGTGCAGTTTATTAAGTCATTCAGTCTCTTGGGCCCTCTGCTAGATTGTTAATCCAGCCCTGAGGAAATGCTGAAATTGAATACGACACAAAGAGAAAAATAGCAGAAAAAAAATGAAGCTCACCTGTCCTTAAGCTTGTGGTTGCTGTTACCACTGTGATGATAAACTCTGTGTGCTGATCTTTGCTTCCTGTTTCGACAGTCAGCGTGTAAATCCCCGCGTGAGCATCAGTCACGCACAAGAGCTCCAAAGAGTCATTCTTTGACACCAGCTCCTCGTTCTGGCCGCAAAACAAGATTATGAAGCATAGAGTATGAGTACCTTTCACACTGAAAAGATGTTTTTGTGTTGTAGGTTTTGATGTCAGAGGTAATCAGATCATCTTGACTTGCATTAAAATTCACTGGAATGGCAGAAATGGGTTGATTAACTGATTTCCCGTTACCTTGATCCACTTGAACTTTGCATTAGGGGACGCTGTGCAGTGAATGGTCACATTTCCTCCAGCATGGACCTCAACTGTGCTATTCTTATCACACATTAATTTAACACCAGCATCTAATAGAGAGAAAATACGAGATTGTTTTAGATTGACAACACAAAAATATTACTGACTATTGTGAGTCTGATGCAGTACACATGAACAACACCTTCTGTAACTGTCCTCTGCCTCTGTCGTGATCATAATATACCTTCAGGTCACTTGCAGCTGAAAAGAATGTAAAGGTGTATTGTGCCCACGACAACTATACGACTGATGAGGGACAAAACAAAAGGCCAGAGGCATGAAAATAAACTGAAAGCAAGCTCTTACTGCAGAAGTGTTCTTGCAATTATTACATACATTTGCTCAGAAGTAAATAACTGCTGAGATTGGCAGAGGAGCAGTGCTCTGATGTAATCAGGAGTAACATTAAATATATGCAATGGATAATCAGATAGAAAGTTACTGCATTATCATTCAAATATTAAATCTTGTGAATACTGCAGAGTCTGTTTGAGGTATGTGAGTACAGCTTTGCATGTATTTGCCCTCGTCTTACCTTTGATTGTTAGCTCTGTTTCTCTCTTGATGGCACCCATGGGAAACATTGTAAGTTCACAAATATAGATACCACTGTCCCATTTTGTCACCCCAGAAAGTTTTAGATTGGAGCCCATTGACTTGTTCTCAATTTGGATGGTGACATTAGGCCAAAAATGGTGGACTCCGAAGACTGGATTAAACACAACCAGCTTTTCGTTGCTGTTGTTACTATTCTTACTCCATTCAATAACGACAATCTGGATATCAGCACTGCTTTTTACAGTACAGGGTAAGGTAACATCCTGGCCCTCTACTGCCTCCATCTTTTCATTATGGAACACTTCAACATCCTGGCGACCTGTCAAGCACATCAGATAACATTGGAAACAAGAAAAGTGAGGAGACAAAATAACTTATACTTTTAAGTTGATATTACAGACTGCAGTCCACTGGGATGCAGGCAGATAACATCAGAGCATTATACTGAGGCAACTTGTCACACCAGAAGCCGATACACATTTCAAACCCATGGCAAATATCCTATCTTTGCAGCTATATAATATGAGCAACAGAACATGTGGTCCAGGATTACCTTGTATATTAGAGGCAAGGAGCAGGAGGGAAAAGACAGTTCCCAATGCACTTCCAGTCATGTCTGAGCTCCCCAAACTCATTACGATCAAT